ATATATAAATATTTTTTTAAAATATATAACAATTCCTTTAGGTGTCTCACACAGATCCTCTCTCGGGCTTTTCCACCCCATTTCCAATCAAATTGGCTATTTCCTTGAAGGAGGGCAATTACATTAATTGCACGGCTCTCTGTTTTCTATCTACCAGGGCTCAGAGTTCAGCTATTTAAGGTGGTATCCTTCTGTGGGCCACATTTCACATCTCCCGGCATGTCTGTTCCCAACAACGACTGCCCAGGCCTGGGGAACGCAAGTATTAACACAGTTGGTTTGGACTTTACAGAATGTATCCGCTGGAGCTAGCCCCCAAAGCCGGAGACTGCCCCTTCCCTTTGTGCCACCTTGGATCCAGGATGGGAAATTTACAAGTCACTCTGCGTTTTGAAAAGAAGTGATCCATTTCCAAGTTGCAATCTACTTGAAATAATCTCCCCAATTACATGGAAGTAATTTACTCCATATTTACTTTCTGCTCTGGACGATCAAATATCTCTTCCTCCCACCCCCAGGGGCAGCAGCTAGGATTAAAAGTTCTCCTACCTGCCTTGCTGGGGCTTTATGATTTAACTCTTTCCTGCCTCCCTGGGAGTGAGAAAAGGTCTCCACCAAAGAATTTCTGTATCGGTCATGGTTTATCTCTGTCTAGCCCCCCTTTTAGCCCTAAAATCTATTCTTGCTGTAATAATCGCACGTATTTTAGATCTAATCTATTTCCAAAGTTGCTGATTACACTGAGACTGGTCTATATAAAACTGAGCCATGGAAGGAAAATATTTCAGTGGTAAGTGACCCGTGCGATGCTAAACCAACAACTGGATGTGTTAGTTGCTAGATAGTCAGGTAAAACTCCAGTGGGGCTAAACCTAGCAAGACGTCAGCTGGGTGAAGAGGCCCCTTACACTCTCCAGGGGTGTCTACCAAAATACAGAGAAACAGACTTCTGCCTCTGTTTTCCCTTCCTGGTAAAGATTTCCAAGGCTTAGCAATCCCTCTGCCAGCCTTTCGAATCAGGTATACAACTCGGCGGTGGTGCCTGCCTAGCAGGCCCCCCAGTACAGAGAAGGAAAGGGAATAAAGCAACTTCGCTTCTCAACCCCACAGAGTTGGGTGACCCCCATGTGAAGAGTCTCAGGTGAAGTCGGTGTTGTTTGTCTGATTTGACCTTCCATAGTATAGTACAGTATTGTTTATTTTTCTGCCATTGTGATTTTGTAAGACTTTTGAGCAGAAAATACAAATAGTTCTTATTTACCACTTCCCCACACGGCCCTGACCCACCCCCAGACCCCACCCCTGTCTCCCCATCATTAACATCTTGCAAAGAGCATGTTTTTGGCAGAACAGTACAGGTTCATTACTTTTAAGTTCCCTGACCCTAAGATGACCAGGAAAGCAGTGAGACCCATCCCTGTGCCAAGTAGAATTCCCTCTATCAGCTGCTTGGTTGAGCCATGTTCCTACCAAGAACTCTTGGCCATAGCAGCAGCCTGGCCCAGAGGTAATCTTTCCCCTTCTCCAGACAAGCCAGACAGGGGAGGGGACAGGGAACAGGAGGCAAAATGGGCTCTGGCAGGAGCCGGAGGACAGCAAGTTTCAACAGGGTACTTCACAGAGCTCCTTGCTTGTTTTATCTTATTTAATTACAGCAGACTAATCCTTACATGGGTAAACTATTTATTCAAATACAAGGCTGTGCAGCCATCCAGCAAACTTGGGGACACAGTTATCTGTGAGGGCTGTCCCCTCCAACGGCTCATAGGGAATGTGCTGTACAAGGAAGGGCCTCTTTCTGGTGCCTGGCCCTTTTCTGCACCAGCCTTTAATTGCTAAGGAATTAAACTTTCCAAGGAGATAAGAATAATGTTGTTTTGTTTGCACACAGACTGCATGACTAACAAGGAGGATATAAATAAAGCCAATCTGAGCATTATCTTTGGGTGGACACGCATTGACTGTGTTCAAGTGAAGCCTGAGATGGCTCCCCTACAAGATTAGGTTGTTATTGCGGAAGCCAAGGTTTACACACGGTTAAAAGCCCAAGTTAATATGTTCACTTAAGACATTACGCCTAATTATGCTATTTGTCAGTAGGGGAACCTGTTCTCCAAACCTTAAAGCATCATGACGCACCAGTGTGAATCTGAGCTGTGTAAATATGCCAAGAGAACTCCATAGGATCCTGAGCTAACTACACCACACAATGATGTTTATGGAAACAGGCAAGATCACGGCCTGAAGAGTCTCAGCCCCAGGATGATACTGATTTCTGTGCCCCTGTGGCCATCCTGGCAAATAAATGTACAGGGAAAAGTCTGTGCCTTTATTTTTGGAAACTTAATGTAAAAGAAGTAACTTGGGCCGCCAAGTTACTTAGGGTGGAAGGGGAGGGAGTGTTATGTGTGGATCTGTTCCAGTTCAGAACGCTCAGAACACTTCCCTGGCCAGGAGAGAGGACCAGGGTCTGGAACTCTGAGTCACTGTCTGGCTTTGGCTTAAGGCTTAGTGGGCTGTGCTCCTGTCATTGGGTGGGCATGGTGGGCTGTGATAAGCTCACCTAGTATGGTTTGCACTGTGGGCCGGGAGTGAGAATTCCCTGATAATAGAAAGCTACTCAGAACAGCTAAGGGTGTGTGTGTGTGTGTGTGTGTGTGTGTGTGTGTGTAAAGAAAGTCAATTCAATAGATGTTGAAATCTTTGAGAATCACTCACCATAAGTCAACTCATTTTAAAATCTAATTTAATTTGATTAATTGGAGATTGGAATCACACACCAAAGCCTTAGGAAATCTAATGGTGAATTAAATCCAGTGGATCATTTTGTGTCTCAAACTTTCCCTGTGGCTTTCAGGTAGAACCTATGAACTCCAGGAGTTTATGAGGTAGTTGTATACACACACACACACACACACACACACACACACACACTTTATTTAGGAAAGTTTAACTGCCCTATCTGCGTGGGCATCCCTTGCTTCTAGCTCTCATTGTATCTAGTCATCTCTATTTGACCTTGGGACATCTGTCTGTGACCTCCAGCCCTTAATCTACCATGTGCTTTACCATTAGGCATAAAGAAATAAATAAGGTCCGGCCTCAAGATGCCCTCTAAAGGGAAGGGGCACCAGTGTGAACTACCTCAGTGCTCAGTGCAGTCAAGACAGGGAGGCAAGATCACAGAGTGCCAATTCTAAGCAGAGCTGGGGAGGAATCAGGAGCCCCTCTTGTCCCCAGTCCCCAGCAAGCCTGCTCTCCCCTCTGATATTTAACAGTGAGTCTCAGCAACATCTTCCCACATTCCCAAGTCTTAGGTGCCCTTCCTAGCCCAATTCTTTGTCTGGATTTCAGTAATTATCTCCAGACCCATCCGTCTACATCTCTTGGAGACCGGGGTCTCATATTCCATAGCACCCAACTAAGAACTATTTGATATGCAGGTATTGCTTTGCCTGCATAGGTGGACAGCAACTTCTATTGGAGAGAGGAATCATTGTGTCTCATTACTGCTTTTGTATTCTCCACACTACGGGAACACAGTAAGCATTCCATTGAAAAGACATCAGATAGCTAGACATGGTGGCCAACAACTATAATCCCAGCACTGAGGAACTAGAGGCAGGAAAGTCAGATGATCAAGGTCCTCCATTGCTACATGGTAAGTTCAAGGACATCTTTGGATACATGAGATCTTATCTCAAAATAAATTAATTAAATAAATAATAAAAAATAAAAAGCTTAATATGAGGCTTCCCTGGCCATCTCTCCAGTGCCTTTTATCAATATGAATAGCACAACTATACGCATAGTAGGACATCTGTATGTGTAGTAGGCATTTAGTGAAAGACAAGTGTGAGATACAGGAATGATCAAGAACCTTGAAATCAATAGGCGTAAGTTTAAATTTCCATTCAACTACCTTGGTCTTGGGCAAGTTTACTTGCACTGAGCCTTGAATTCCTTAACTGACAACTAACAAATTTTATGTCCCTTTTGGATGAGTTGATGAACTTGTGGCTCTAAATCGCCTAGCACAGTGCTTGGCACATAGGAAGGAGTCAAAACCATGTCAGGTCTTGTCCCAAGGGCCTCATCTCCTTCCTTTTTCCACCCCCAGCCCTTTTAGCCAGGGAAAAAACTGGCAAGAAATGATAGTGATATTTAGAACTCCACACCTGCATTTTGGGGGTTACAAAACAGCGCTGCAAGCTGCAAGCACCTAGCCAATCCTGCCGGGGATTAACATTACTCCCATTTTGCCTGCTTCATTGCAGAGAAAACAACTGGTTTGTTTATTATTTACTTTTTTCTGCAGGCATAAGTGTAGCAAAACTCTCATGATGATCCACTTCTGTAAGCTCTCAAAGCCACATGGTACTTGGACTTAGAGACAGCCATATATTCAGGCAGTTTGAATATGAGGTCATTCTGGCAACCTACAAAAAGGGTTAATCGTTCCTGCTAGAAAAGGATTCAGTGCTCAGACTCTAAATGTCATGGGAATATGGCCTGGAAAAGCTGAGGGCCATTGCATTATACAATTACCTATTTACTGGGGACAGTATATTTAATAACTAATCATCTAATCTAATAATCCGGAAGACTATCAGACTCAAAGGTCAAGTGTTTAAGATTAGGGAGAAAGCTGACTTAAAAGTACATTTCTCAGAGCCCCATGGATCAACAAGTCAGCCTTCAATCCACCATACCACCCTCACTCCCAGACTGTTAAGGAGTTCAGAAATGTCACTCTCCTTCAAACATGGGCCATTTATTACATGCATGCATTTGTAAGAGTTTTATTCCATGAGATCTTTTAGTTAGCAACCTAAGAAGATCACTGGGGAAAGCCATAATAGTTCCATGAAGGAGAACACTGCACCAGGAGCCTTTTGAGACAATTTTTAAAATACATCTTTTAATTGTTAATTGACACATAGTAAGTACACAAACTTCTGGTCCAACGTGGTATGTGTATATAACACAATCTGCGGCAGTTAGACCAGGATAATTGGTTAATATTTTAATGCGATCTTTTGTGCAGATTGTTACGTTTCTCTTGAGGCCTTCTTGTGGAGACAAGTTCTATTTACTTCTGTTCGAGGCTCACTTTTCCAGACGTCTTTCTCAGAGTTAAGTGATCATCTTTCCTTTAATAAACAATCTCAAATTGAAAAGCCACTTATTGTCAGGTTGGAAAGCCTACATGATGGCCCTTCCTCATTCTCGAGGAAAGGAAAGCTCTCATCACATTTCAAATGTCTCCGCGGAATCCCACGGCGTGTTGACTCACTCCAGTATCTGGTAGCACAAAATTAGCCAGCAAGATAGCTCTATCATAGGCGTGTCAGTCTTTACTAAGATCACTGACTAAACCACTCTTAATTTAGACATTTAATGGCTTTGAGTCCCAAAACTCCATTTCCCAGAGTATAGCACCTTTGGAGGAAGTTCTAGGTATTCTCATATCTCCTAGAAAAAAAAAAGTGGAATCTGTAACTGACAAGTTAGAATGAGTTATGATAATAAAACAAAGCAACTCTAAAATCCCAGTGATTTATCAAAACAAGAGTTTAACTTGTATTGCTCCAAAATGTACTTATGACAAGTAAATGAAGTACTCTGATCAAATGGTGTTCAGGTCCTCAAACCAAAGCACCACTTAAGTACTGAGACCGGGGAAAGGAAGCCACGCCATTGAGGCCACGCCCTCTGAGGGAAGAGAGCTGGAAGGGTTCATCACCACTACTATATGCTAAGCCAGAAGTGAGCACCACCTCATCTTTGCTCCAAGTCGATCCGATGTAACTGGCCACAGTTCCCACAAGACCAGGGAATGTTGTCTTTTTTATGCCTGCGCATAGAAATAAGGACCCTAAATGCCTAACACATGATACAGATGCACATCACCACTCACTACAGGTTTTATGCTTCATGAACAGTGAAGGGAACCAGAATGGTTGAACATAAAAGAAATGTCTAATAAATGGCTACTCAATGAGTTCTAAACAGAATTAAAACAGTTATTGTAAGCTTCGTATGGATTCCACCTATATCTGTATCAAGATGAATGTAAATTCTTCATTCCTTGCTCTTAAATTTTTAAAAGAATCTCTAAAGGTTTTATGTCAAGAAGAAGAGGAAGGAGAAGGAGGAAGAGAAGGAGAAAAAGGAGGAGAAGAATGAGAAGACAGATGAGGAGGAGGAGGAGGAGGAAAAGGGGAAGAAGGAGGAAGAGGAGAAGGAAGAAGAAGAGAAGAAGAAGGAGGAGGAAGAAGAGGAAAAGAAGGGGGAGGAGACACTTTTCTCCAGTTCTGAATCACACCCTATCCTCTACCCCATGTGATCATATTTTTATGAGACCTTTTTAATTACTCAAGGCGGCAGTGACACCCAGGCCCTCACCAGGGGACACAAAACTGCTTGGTGCATCACCTATCTGAAGGGTAGGAGCCACCAATCCTCTTGGGTACAAGGCCTGAGGAAAATAACTGTGAAGGAGCAGTGTCTCTCGTCAGGAGAAAACACTGGCCAGAATGGGGTACAGAGATAGCCCCATCTTAGACCCTGCCTTACTGCTCAGTCACTCTGCCACTTTTGTAAGAACAAGGACAAGATGGGAGGAATTGCTCACCCTTGCTACAGGTACTGGAGGCCCTACAACTAGACTCTTCCTTAGGCAAGAAAATAAACAATAACCCAACATGTCCTGAGAGCTGTTTTGTTCCAGATACAGTACCAAGCACGTTGCGTGCATGCAGTAATCCAAAGTAACAAATCTAGAATCTGTAGATGATACAAAAATACTAGATTTATTTGTGTGTACTTGGTACTCCTTAATTTCATTTCCTATGTGTTTTATCACTTATATGATCTGTAGTAACGGTATCTGTGTTACTATGTACTGTACTCACTCATCTTTGCTAAGAGCACATGGTTGTTTGCCTAGGTCCTTTGGCTGGTAAGACAGGATTACTATTGATTTACAGGAAACTGGAGCTTCAGAAGGCTGTAATAGCTCTGTCCAAAGTTGGTCAACAGTAGAGCAAGAACTCCAAGCATCTGCTTCCAAAGTCTATGTCCTAGCCTGATCATTAAAGGAATTCCTTGTGTTCAAAGCCTGGTGCTTGAACACTAAGCTCATTTGTGCCTGCAGAAATGCCAACCAGTGGCACAGAAGAAACCATACTTTGATCATCCTCCACACTGAATTAAGAGGAAAAGCAGAAGAAAGAAAAGTGAGGGGAATGAAGCCAGACAGTCAGTCACGTGGTAGTAAATGGAAAAGAATTTTGGGAAGTTAAAATCAAAGGTAAATGTCACAACATTCCAATGGGCACTTTATTCTTCAGCCACCCATTTAATGCCCCTCTATAGAAGTCACACACATGTGCACACACACACACACCCCATCACAGATGATCCATCTTCCTTTTAGCATGCAGGGATGGCAGCCTTCGGATTCCCTTTGCTGTGGAGCTCAGCGGCACTCTGTGTGGATTGAGACTCTCAGAACATCATTTTTGCTGATGGAGCACTGAGGAGTATGAATCCCTGTGTGGCCCTTAAAAGCTACTCCCATGAGAGACACATTTTACTTTGTTCAAAAACGCTTACAGTTATGTACGGCTGGTATGTTCAATTTTCTTAATTAGTAATGAGTGATTCTTGTCAGCACTGAGTTCAGAGCACTAGGCTCCCCAGAACATTCGTTACAGATGGCTTTGAAACTGCAGAAACGGGGGGTTTGGGGAGGGGGCATTGAACAACTCTATATTGTACACCTGGATTTTATAGGAGGTATTATGGAATTCTTTAGCTAAGACCAAGTTTCTCTGGGTATCTTGGAGGTAGTGATAAAGAATTAATTTCTTAAATCACTATCAAGCCCCTTTTGTGTGTCATTTGCATAAGTTCTCAAACAATGCCACTGTTTTCATGTAAATTTCTTTTCAAGGAGATTCCTGCTTTGAGAAAGCCCAGTAACAGTAGCTGAGTCGCATAAAGGGGCCTGTTATTGCCTCCTGCTGAAGACGCTTTGTGCTAGCAATGATCAGAGAGAGGGTTTTCCTGCGCCCTATTAAGCGATCTGTGGTTCAAAATGTGAAAGGAGAGAGATGGCCTTCACGTGTGAGTTAATTACTTCTGCCTAGGATGCTGGGAGTGTTCCCAAGACCTTCTAGCAGCCCCGGAATCTGGAGAGCCACCCTCCTCCAAACCTCAGTGTCTTCCCACTTCATCCCACTGCTTGGTTGATTCGGGGTAGGGATGCGGGAGGATGCTACTCCCCAGGAGAGGATAGATTTCAGTGAGAAATTAACTTTGTTTCAGACACCTGATTCTTGCCACCACGACAGCATGGAGCAGAGAAAGGAAAACCTGGAGCCACTATGTGGAGAGATGGTGTTTGTCAGGGCTACAGAAATAGAATTGAGTCTCCATCAGGATCAAGGCATTCCCGCCTCTGAGGGCTCGCTGTGACAAAGGAACTATCCAGCCTGTTTGAGTACTACCCCCTCCCCATGTTAGAAAAGTACAGTCAGTTAAGACTCTCTCCCTCTCGCTCTACCCCCATCCTTGTTCCCCAAGAATCCCGAGTTCACTCTCTAAATTCTGAACACACCTAGATCATTCAATTGACTGCCGTGGGATATTTTGGAGGGGAGCAAGGGGAAAGGAAGACTTCTTAAACTCTATACCTATTTGCAAGAGACTCTGTTCACAGATACGTCTGGATTTTAAAGGGGGAAAAAAAGACTCTCGTGAGACCACAGTTCTTAAAGCACAGGGCATGGAAATACCGGTGGTGGTGGCAAAGTTTCAGCAGTAACTGTGCCTGTTAATTCTATCACTTGCCATGAAAGGACAGCAGTTGTGAGCCTAGGTGTACCCCTCACTTAGCTGTATATTTTTAGGAAGTTAACTACTGACCCCACCAGGAAGAATACAATATATTGGTTTTCGGGAAATGTAACTGAGGAAGAATATTTCCACTGGCAAAAGACATGTATGTTCATTAAAGCACTGAGGTATTTTGTTTTACTTTGTTTTGTTTTTAATCCAACATGGGTGCACGCTGAAAACCCTCCTCCCTGATGCCTTCTTCTGCCTCCCAATACATCCACCCATCTCTTCTAATCCACCTGTATTTTTTTAAATTTTCTTTTGTTTTTGTTGTTGTTGTTTTCGGTTTTGTTTGTTTGTTTCTTGTGTGAATCTCTTCCTGAGGCGTCTGCTTTGCCACTTTGGAAAAGCAGAATATTTTACAGGAATAGACGTGTGCGAACTAGCAAACAGGCCTCTCAGCCCATTTCCAGCGTCCCCTCCTCCTTCCCGGACAAGCAATACAACAAGGCCAAGACATCTTCATGTCCTGTCTAAGTTAAGCTTCAACTACAGCATGAGCCAGGCTCTGGACTTCTAGGGCCAGCCTGTCAAAACCCATCCACAGCTGTGATGGACCTGGGCTGAGGCGGGGAATGGAGGCATTTGAAGCCAAGCCTGCAGCTACCCAGGACTGTGGCAGAGGGAGAAGCTGGGGCCCATAGAAACCCCAGCAGCAAGGGAAAAACAGATTGACTCTCAGTGACTCATTTAGCTCCTGGATTGGACAGATCTCTCCCCTGCTGGCGATTTGGCTCTCCATCAATAGTTCGGATACCGGGCTGAATAGCTTAAAATAATTAGAGGGAAAAATTCTGAAAAACTGCTAGCCATCCAACTCTTCACTCAGCGATGAAAGACACAGGACAAACGACATCGAAGTTATTAAATATGAAGTCACTGGATTTGCTGCACATTAGGTTCAAAAGCAGAGAACTGGATAAAGCTCAAATTTATAAGTCAGCGTAGATGGCCTGTTTGTCCTTGAGGCAATCATGAATTTTGGCTGGGCAGGCATTATGACATGTGGAAATAATGGGGGGGGGTGAACAATGTTTGATTTCACCCCCCACTCAGCTTCTACTCCCTGGGGAGGAAAAATGAAAATGTCAATAAAGAGTGTGAATGTGGAGAGAAATGAGACTGGGCCCAGAGTCTAGCAGCTGGCAGCTCAAACTTTATACACTTTAGGCGGACAGGCGGCTGGGTTTCCTGTACTTTATATCCAGTGTACAAAAACAGAAGCAACAGGCTCGTTCGGTATCAGTAAAGGTCAGTTAAAATTATAGAGACATCCTTTGGAGCAGATCCCCTGCCTTGTATTTGCATATTTATGAACTAGAGATTATGACAAGCCATTCCATTTATTAGAGCAGGGCTGCCATAGTTAATAGTCTGTCAGCATTTCCATTATAAACCCCGTTTTTCAGTGTTTTAATATCTCAGCTGTTAGAAAGCACATCAGGCTGAAAAGTGGTCCTCAGCCTCTCGGGCCCATGGCAGCTGAGCTGCTGCTGCTGCTGGTGATGGGGCTTTGGAAGCCAACAAAGGCCTTTAAATCAAGCCAACCGTCTCGAAACTGGATCCTAGCAGAAAATGGAAAACCAAGGATTTTGAGAAGGCTGGTTGAATTCTTCCCTTCTACAACCCACAGATTCTCTCTCTCTCTCTCTCTCTCTCTCTCTCTCTCTCTCTCTCTCTCTCTCTCTCTTTCTCCTCCTCATTATCACTGAAGTTTTCATTCTTTAAAGAAAAGATTGAGAAAAAAAAGAAAAGATTGAGTTTTTCTTAAGGCAAAGATTCACACTTTTGACTTGGTAAAGGAACTAGGGGAGGGAATCAAAGTAAGGCAGAGAAGCTAAATCCATCCATCTTTCTATCCTTCCTTCCATCAATCCATCCATCCTTCCTTCCATCTTTCCATCCATCCATCCTTCCATCTTTCCATCCACCCATCCTTCCACCCATTCATCCATCCATCTTTCCATCCACCCATCCTTTCTTTCATCCTTCCATCTACCCATCATTCCATCCATCAATCCTTTCACCTACCCATCCTGAATTGGCTCACACACTCAGAGACTAGCAAGTTTAGATCACAGGGTGAGGCAGCAGGTGGAAGCCCTGGGGAAGATGTGATTATTGCAGTTCTGGTCTGAAGGCTGTAAGCAGAATTCCCTCTCCCTAGGAAAGTTACTCTTTTAACACCTTCATCTGAATGAATGAGGTCCATCCATCTTACAGAACAAATAAACATCAGTTATCTGCTTTACCTAGTTACCTATTATTGAAACAATACTCTCATTCACATAGAAATGAAAATGTTTACAGAAACATTCAGGTGTATGAGACCAAGTACCTGAGTACTGTGACCCACTCAAATGGACACACTGAACTATCACCAACACAAACAATGTCATATGTTAAGGCCCTCCTATATATGAAGTTGCAATTTTGATATGATTTAAAACTTGGTGACATAGTCCTCCTCTCCAGGGAGCTTAGGATTCATTGTCTCCCTGGTACTAAGTTTGCAGAACAAAATTACCAAAATTTTCACAACAAAATACCAGAGTCCACATTAGTTCCAACATCTGCTTTCTTTCCCCATCACTTTAGGATGGGAATGCCCTAAATGCCCTTGGCAGAGGATCACTGCAGAATGTGATTCAGTTGTGGTCTCAAGGGATGGCCCTCGTGTCAAGGGCGACTTGTCACTCAGAAAGAGGCTTGCTCATTCCAAACCAAATTCTAGAAATTTTGACCTCCTAGGAAGCTGCCTCTTAACTCAACAGTAGTAGAAAACTCCTTGGGGATTTGAGGAGAAATTGGAAAATGAGGAAGAAAGCAGTTGGTTCCTTCTCATTACTAAGCCATTCATTAAAGTTGACAATGATGATCAACCATCATGTCTCTTGTCAAATTGACACCTAGATGTATTACTTCAACTATAATAGTGTCCTCCACTAGCTAGCCTCTACAGGAGCGTTGACAGTTCCCTCATGGCTTGGGAGAGGTTTCAGCAATCTCCTGCAGATAAGAGCACACCCAGCCAAATCTCCATTAGAGGAGCAGAAGGAATCCCCTTGTACCCGTCCCCGGCTGCCTCCAACTTTGGGAGCTGCAGTAAATGTTAGCAGCAAATCGCCTTGCCCTTTCTTCTAGGTTTCTTCATTTTACTTCTTCAGAATGTGTCATACTCCCGGACACACAGACTAAGCTTTCCAAGCCCTCCTAGAAACATAAGATACCGCACCACTCAGTTCACCTCATTACAAACGGGAAATGTAGCCATAAATGAACACATTACAGGTGCTGCAACCATTGCTTGTTGGCAGAGGGGAAACATAGAAAAATGCTGTTGTATAAAAAGGCCAAAATGTGTCTATCCAATCCGAGTGTGGCCTAACCTAACGTCCTATCAAGAGCGGCCCCGCTTGCCACCCAAGGTACCATGGCTCTCAATACCTCTGAGCTTGGCTTGGTTTTACTTCTGCCCTTTAGACTTCCCGTGAAATGAACGGGACTTACGTAATGTCTTTCAGCAACATCATTGACTAGGAAGAACAATTACGTAATAAGACACACACCAGGATGTGTGTAATTGTGCAATAACAGCATGCCTCACTGTGCTAGGCTGGGCGCCAATAACCACCTAGTCATGCTATTATACGAGAACATATGCCCTAGAGGCACGTTGGAATTATTCTGAGGGTTTCTAAAGGAAACTTGACTGACAAAAAGATGATATAGAGAACTTCAGTATAAAAAAAGACAGTAAAATAATTTTTGAAAGTCTGATTGTAATCCAAAATGCAACAGAAAAGTGGCATGTCAGGTAACAAAGCCCACATTGTATGAGAAAGGTACTGAGCTGTGATTCACTCTGTCATCACGAGGTTTAAGGTGACACAATATCAGTAAGAAGAAAAAATACAGACACTGGAATTCAGGTGACATGTTGTCCTATTTGTTGCTGGCTTGAGTTTTGACAAGATTAGAGTCATTTCTCAACCAATAAAATAAAATAAAATTCTCGACTCCTTTAGCATCTACTTTCCACAGCAGAGACACCCAAAGACTTTTCACACTTTGTATACTTGAACTTTCCTTTCTGTTGTTCAGCAAACCACCAATAAAATAAATAATTCAAGATGGACATAGTGGTGCACACCCCATCACTAGCAACAGCGACTCGGGGGGGAGGGGGGAGGGTAAAGCATGAAAGTCGAGGTCAAGGCCAGCCTGGGCAGCATAACGTGACTCCCCAGCTCTCAGTCTCATCATCACCATCTCAGAATCAAGAAAGGTGTGTGTGTGTGTGTGTGTGTGTGTGTGTGTGTGTGTACCCTTCAAAGACCCATTCCCAGTGACCTCCTTCCTACAGCTAGCCACTTCCCAAAATTTCTAACACCTCCCAAACAAAATAATTCCACCACCTGGGGACGAGAGATGGAGAGATTCAATCCATGAACCTGTGCTAGGCATTTCATACACAACTACAGAACTCGTCACACCAGCAAGGCAGTGAGAGCCAAGAAAAGAGATGTTAGCGCTATCTTCTTCTGAGTTCCTAAAGTATTGGCTTGTTTCTCAGGTGAGATGTCTCAACTCTATAATGAATGAAAGTTAACCTATCACGTGTGTAACATACTTCAAAGCTATGGCAGATCAACTAATGCCTCAAAAGAGTAGGTTCATTGCTATACAACTGAATTGTAACCCCTCGGCTCATAAGTTGAAGTCCTAACATCTCAGAATGTAACCGTACCAGGAGATGAAATCTTCAAGAGGCAGTTAGTTATGAAAGGGTATAAGAGGGTGTGCCCTAACTGAAAATGACTGACACCTTTTCAAAAGGAGGAAATCTGGATACACAGAAAGACAGACACTAGACAGGACTGACTGTGTGAGACATCACCTGTCATGATGATGGGAGGATAATCGTCATCAAGATAAGGGGACAGAGCTCAGAAGGGACCAAACACGCAAGACCTTGATTTTGGACTGTTAGCTTCCAGAACACCAACAGACTACAAGTGTGTTGTTAAAGCCGCACGAACTGTGTTCCTCGGTGGGAGTAGCTCCCAGATAATTTCTAAGCTAATTCAACTCATCAAACAGTTTGAACATTGCTGAGTAGGAAGAACGAGAATAGGACAGGAAGACAAAAACCGTGTTGTTTAATAGCTTACAATGGCCAAGCTGTCATGACGACTGAGCACGAATAGGAAAGGCTCCAAGCTGCTGTTAGGTTGGAATCCGGTGGGTGTCATTTCAAATAAACCAATTTAAAGCATTTTTTGAAATCTCAAAGGATAACCGTGGAGTGTCTGAATCACCTTAAAAACCAAGAGTATTCCATGAGTCAACAAACAACTTCAAATAATAACTCATCTTAAACTACTAACTTTAAGCAAAGGGAAATATAGGAGAAAGCTCTACTGAGCCACACTGAAGCCAATACCTTCAGAATTCTTGTCGCCGTCTTTCCATAGGCTGCTGCAGTCAGCTGTCTTCTGATTCCAAGTTACCGATATCCTGAAAGTTACTCAGACAAAGTGTCCATGTTACAGAGTTTGCGCAGGAAGGACCACACATCAAGCTCTCCTCCTCCCTAGCCTGTGGCTAAGCCTTTACCAACACATCACCAGTCAGGGGAGCTCTCGTCAACAGGGCAGCTTCCTAGAGCATTTAGAGCATCAGTTCATGACAGGAAATGTTACATGGGTAAGGAGGGTTATAAAAGTATACCGTGGGGGAAATAAAGGAAATATTTCTCATCTATTAAAGTAGAACTGAGGTTCTTACACTTTTGACTGGCATCCAAGCTCCAGCAAGTGTGGGGCCAGGGGTTTTAATTTCTAGCTAGTTCCCATGCAGAATGGCTATTGCTCTCACGACAGGAGCCAGAGCTTGCGCTGGCCACCCGGTTGAGCTACGGGGTGGGAGTTGCCTAGCAGGTGTGGCTAATTCCATGGGATTGGCAGTTCTTAGAAAAGGAAATCAATGGCCATGTATAAACAACATTTAAGCTGAAGTCTAGTGAAATGCTCCCTGGAGAACCACAACCTTCTCGCTGCCTGGGAGGCAGTGCTACCCAGTGCCACGGTCCTCGGCATGAACGAACTACCTTCATCCAGCCCTGCAGGAGTGGCCATGCACCTGCTTGGAAGGCATTTTGAGGAGTTAATGTCATCTACCAGAAGACACACATTTCAGGCCCACAGTAAATTCTTTGTAAGCAGGACCTCGCTAAGATTAAGAATGTCATTGTTCATATTTGAGTATCAAAAACTGTCTTAGTTTGGGTTACTATTGCTATGATGAAACACCATGATCAAAAGCAAATTAGAGGGGAAAGAGTTTATTTGACTTGCACTTCCATGCCGTAGTCCATCACTGCAGGAAGTCAGGGCAGAAACTCAGACAGGGTAAGAACATGGAGACAGTAGCTGCTGCAGAGGCTGTAGAGGGGTGCGGCTTACTGACTTGCTCCTCGTGGCTTGCTCAGCCCAGGGGTAGCTGTACCCACAATGGCCGAACCCTCCCAAACCAATCACTAATGAAGAAAATGTCCTACAAGTTTCCCTACAGCCTGATCTTACGGAACCCCAATTCTTTCGATTGGGGTTCCCCACCCTCGGATGACTCTAGCCTGGGTCAAGCTGACATTAAATTAGCCAACACAATTACTGCCTTGTCAGCTTGACACACTTCCTAAGATAATAACCTTTCATTTCTTTAATTCATCCTCAAATTTTCAGACTGGTAAATATCAGAAATATAAAGTATATTACAAACCTGAAAGTCTCACAATCTTCACCAGTTAAAACCCTTTAAAAGTTGTTTCTCTAAAAATCCAAATTTTCTTTTAAATACAACACCTCTTTTAAAAATTCAAAGTCTCTCAACTACAGACTCCTGTAAAATCAAAAATAAGCTAAGTACTTTCTGACTTCAAGAGGGAGGAACCAGGACATAGTCACAACCTGAACAATGCAAAATCACACTCCAACCGTGAAATAATTCAATGTCCAATATCTGCGATTCACTCATGAGCTTCTGGGCTCCTCCAAGGAGCTGATGTTACTTCCAGCTCCAACTTCTGTAGCACGCACAGTTTGTCTTCCAGGCTCCAGCTCATTCCGCTCCACATCTTCTGTTCTTGGTGGTCGTCCGTGGTACTGGTATCTACAAACGCTGGGGTTTTCTGCCACAACTGGGCTGCCCTTTCACCGATAGCCTCTCACGGGCTCCCTTCATGGTGCTAAGCCTCAGCTTCTCCCCATGACCCCTTCAGTCCTGGGGCCTCAACTGCCACTGAGGCTGCACCTTCACCAATGGCCTCTCCTGGCCTCTCACGGTGCCAGGTGTCAGTTTCTCTCAAGACTCCTCCATGCCTTCAAAACCGGTACCATCTGGGAAACTCTTACACATGACCGAGTTTGTCCGCCAGCACACGATACAACCCTAACCACCTCTAAACACAGCTCACAAGTGCTGGCCTTGAGGAAACACTTCCCTGAAGATTTCCCCTCAAGGATGCTGGTCTCTTCTTAGTCATAGCTGATTCTTCCACCCCAGCTGACCAGCATCTACTATCCCAGCAAAGCAAAGGTTTCACTTGAGTGCTTCTGATCTCTTGTTAATCACAGCTGAATCTTCAGCTCCTGCTGACCAGATAGCCACAGATTCTTCACACAGAAGTCCTGGCAGAATCTTTGCTTCCCTCTGAAGCTTCCCAAGCCAGGTCCTGCTCTCAACATTCTTATCCCCCAAGCTCCTACAGTACAGCCTAGGGAACTCTCAATACTCAGTGGCTCTTCTAGCCCAAAGTTCCCAAGTCCTTCCCCAGTACCTCCACAACATGGTCAGGCCTGCCATAGCAATACCCCTTTATCCAGATACCGACTTCTGCATTATTTTGGGTTATCGCTGCTATAATGGAATACTGTGACGAAAACAGAGGAAAGGCTTTCTGTGGCTCATGCTTCTACATCCATAGTCTATCACTGCAGGAAGTCAGGGCAGAAACTCTAACATGATAAAAACTTGAAGACAGGGCTGATACCTGGAGGGGTGCTGCTTACTGGCTTGCTTCCCATGGATTGCTCAGCCTGCTTCCTTTTAGAACCCAGGACCACCTGCCCAGGCATGACCCCACCACAATGGGCTGGGTCCCCTCACATCCATCACTAATAAGGAAAATAGTCTACAGGCTTGCCTACAGCCCAGGATGGAGACATTTTCTCAACTGGTGTTCCCTCCTCTTGGATGACTGTAGCTTGTGTCAAGTTGACAAAAAGTTAACCAAGACACAAGATAAACCATATCCCCCAAATAATATCTACAAAGTCACTGAAACAAAGACAATATGATAACAACAGCTAGCATGGATCTTCAGTGATCTTCTCCCAAAAAAAGGGGGGGGGGCAGATTTGCTCCATTGAGTTTATATTTCTCACCCTCTGCAGCATCAAACACCTGAAATTTGGTTATGAATGGAATCTCATTGTTTCTCAAATGACATTCCAAAGTAATAGGTTAAAACCGAGTACAGGCGGAAGCCTGACTCATTCATATCTATGCAGTTATGGAACACCAGCGAGAACTTTGGCAGAAATGAAAAGCCATAGACAATCAATAGGAAAGTAACCCAAGAAGTGATTTTTGGCCAAACAAAACACTAGCGAGATTGAAAATAATTTCCATGGACAAAGCATGTACCTGTTAGGCGTCCATGAGGAATGTGCTAGACATGAACTTGACTGAACCGAAGAAGAGTTCCTGCTTGTTGGTTAGGGATCCCTGTGTCGAAATGATGTTTTGCTTTTCCTAATTCTCTGGGTACACCACCTCCTGTACTGTGCTGCGTTCCTGGATTGCTCAAGAAATGGTTAGGCTCGAAATCTGCAGTCTTGTGCTCACCCCTGACCTCTGTGTGTTTAGTCAAAAAGAAAGAAAAGAAAAGATACTGACCGCAAAGAAAAGTTGTGGAACCACAGGGAAGCTGCACCCACGTCAGTGTCTGAGTTCCAGAAGTTATGTGGCCTTTGCTGTTCTTGTAAAATGTAGACCGCCAGTGTTAGAAGTGAATTATTTATACACTAAAATAACAGTATGATACTAATTCTTACTAAAGTGGAAAAAAAAGTGGGAACATAAGATTTGGTATGGAGATTGTTAAAAGGTTGAGTTCTAAAATATAGTTTGTGGAAGTATAATTGATATAAACATTTTGAGGATAAGTGTTGCAGGCAGAATCTAGCAGAACTCCAATACTTCTGTTGCATGAGGCAATAGTATGCATGAGCTACACACACACATACACACACAGTAGACTCAGAGGACTTGGGTTCTTACTCTGGCTATCCCATTTACAAATACAAGACTGCAAGACAGTTACTTAGATCTCTGAGATTATCATTGAAAACATGGAGATATTTAAAGCATCTCTCCTTTGAGGGCTGTCATGGAAATATTTACCAAGTGCTAGGGCTGGAGAGAGGCTCAGTGGTTAAGGGCACTGCCTGCTCTTCCAAAGGTCCTCAATTCATTTCCCAGCGACCTCATGGTGGCTCACAACCATCTGTAATAAGATCTGGTGCCCTCTGAAGGAAGAGACCTGGTAAGTTGTCCTTATTAACTTAGAACATGAACCCCCACATGGGTAAGTTCAACAGAACTATCATATTTGGGCTGCCCATGCATGTTTCAGCTTACCTGGCTTACAGCAAGCATCACATAAACTTAAACCCTGATTCTAGTAAAGAAAAGTCTACTGAACCTCGGGCCAAATGTACAGGTTCAATGCAAACCAGATTCTCACAGCACGTGCATAGAAACTAACTCTAGATACCTATTTGTAAGAAAGTATGTAAGTGAATGATGGTTTATCTATGTAGCTGTACATGTTATAGAATGTTGTAGAGTTATGTGTACCCCATGATCAGCATATTGCTGAGCATAAGAACAAATTAATGGTATATCCAGTATGATTTTCATTACTATGAACGCAAACAGTAAATATATGGGTGTGTATGAGAGAGAAAGAGGGTGTATGTGTATGTATTTGTGCACATGCATGTGCATTTATGTATTATGTGTATGTATGTGTATAGGTGTATATGTACATGTATGTGTGTTTGTATGTATGTGTGTAGATGGAAGTTTCTGTCCTGCCTAGTTCCGCACCATTCAGTCCCAAAGAAACACACAGAAGCTCATGTTAATTATAAACTGTTTGTCCTATTTCTCAGGCTTGTACTAATGACTTCTTACAACTTAAATTAACCCATAATACCTGTCTATGGTTAGCCACGTGACTTGGTACTTTGTGACTGCAAATCTGACTTTTCTCTTCCCAGAATTCTTTTAGTGTGGTAGCCCCACCTATACTTCCTGCCTGGGTAATGGCCAATCAGTGTTTTATTAAACCAATATGGGGGAAAAATCTTTAGAGTGTATAAGAGCACGTGTGTGTGTGTATGCATGTACGTGTATGTATATGTGTGTATGGGTGTGTGTATGTGTATGATGAGTGTGTGTGCGTGTGTACTGAAATAGTAATCACACCTGAACAGTAAAATTGGAACTAGGAAGAAGTGTTTTTCAGTTGCTAATCTTCTATTGTTTGCATCTTTGAAAATAAATGTGAATTACTTTTATAATTAAAAAGGTTTTTCAACAGTTAGTCTGAACAGATTTAAGTAATTATTCTCTCTTTCCCCCCATTAGGATTGAAAGTCATAGCCAAGAGGTGGATGCTGTTATCATTGACTTAGATGACCAACCAGGAAATGAGATTGTGTGAGGAATCCATTTAATTAACTGTTTTAGCCACCAAGATCTATGAGAGCATACAAGGTGAAAACACTTAGGAACTCAGCCTGTCTTCTACAGCAAATAGGGGGTAAGGCATTCGGTCAGTCTGTCAGAAACAAGGCTTCCCCAGTGCTCAAGAAAAACAACTGAAATATTTCAAGTGTGAGATTATATTAAAAATCACAGTTTCCAACTGAGAAGCCAAACAAACCGCTGATTTCAGTTTATTGTCTTAGGAAGAGAACGGCGCAGGACTCAACAGAGACCCAAACTCAGAGCTAGCGTTCTCAGCAGCCGCTGCTTCCACCTAAAGCTTCGATTGCCAAATTATCTTCAAAGACGTCGCCTGGCAGAAGGACAGCTGCCATGAAAGCGCCCTGCGCGAATCCACAGAATTCAGAGACGGTAGATTTGAAAGATGGAGAGCTTGCCCGACAGGTGTGAGACCCTGGGTTTGGCCAATCAGTGTATATCCAGCACTACAAAAACGAAGAAATAAATAAATAATAAAACAAAGTTGAAAGAGGCCTTGGAAACACCCAGGTCAGCATTCTCTTCTCACAGAAGGGAACAGTGAGTTCTCAAAGAGTCCTAGGATTCCATAAAAATAGAACCAAGGCCAAGGTCAACAAGAGGGCTCAGCTGGTGAGAGTGCCAGCCTTGCAAGCCCGGCGACCTCAGTTCAATCCCTGCAACTCCCAGGAGAAAGAGAGAAGCATTTCCGTTGAGTGTCTTCTGACCTCCACATTCACAGATACACAAACACACACCAGCATCATCATCATCACCACCACCATCATCATCATCAATATGGTCAATTAAATAAAGAAAAGGAAAGTAAAAGAAAAAACAAAGGCAACCTACAGCTCAGGTCTCCTGGCCACTAGTACAATAGATTTCTTTTGTATTCTACTTTACCTGCATGATATATACCTATTTATTTATTTGTTCATTAATTTATCTATTTACTGTGAGATACCATCTCACTGTGTAGCCCAGGCTTGCCTGGAAATCACTATGTGGACCAGGCTGGCCAGGAACTCATAGAGATCTGCCTGCCTCTGCTTCTTCCTCTTAAGTGCTAGGATTAGAGGTGCATGCCAGCATGTTCAACTTCTGCACTTTTTTATGCTTTGATAGACTGCTTAAAAACATGAGCATGGTAAGATCCAATATATCCTAGGGCTGGCAAGCTGGCTCACAGAAGGAGAGTGGTTGCTGCCCTTCCAGGGGACCTGAGTTTCATTTCCAGGGCCCACATCAGGCAGCTGACAGCCACTTGTGACTCTAGCTTCCTAAAATTACCCTTTTCTGGCCTCCTTAGATACCCAACACTTGTGTCATATATTGACACAGACATGTAACTAAAAATAAGTCTTAAAAAAGTAAAAATATTCTGTAATGTACAAAATGCATCCCAGCAACAACAAACACGTTCCCAATGACACACTGCCCTCTGACCCCTACACTGACCACAGCTCTCCTCAAATGTAACAACCACTACAGCTCTCTCTGATACTTCTTCAGAGACACTTGAATTTCCAAGTGAGTGTGCAGGAATGTTTGTATGCGTGTGCAAAGCACGTCACAGGCTCTATCAAGCTTCTTGCTCATTTCTTTGTTTTCAATATACCATTGAAACGACTCCATACCGTACCTGTCATTCTCTTTTCCACTACTTTTAGTGCTTTACTTAACATTGCATACTATATCAGACTTACTTAAGCAGTCCCCTGTTGGTGAATACATAGGCCATTTACAATCTTTTGAACCATAAACGTGCTTCCACCAATATCCTCACAGAAACAATTATGAGCACTTGGGCAACTGTTGCAGGATGTACATCAGATAAGGTGTGTGTGTGTGTGTGTGTGTGTGTGTGTGTGTGAGTGATTTCGCTTCAGGCTACTTACATGCTTAATTATTATAAACATAA